TGGAGCCAACTTCCAAGAGAAGTGGTGCTGGCTCCTACCCTGGGGGGCTTTAAGAGGAGGCTGGATGAACACCTCGCCAGGGTCGTTTGACCCCAGCGCTCTTTCCTGCCATGGCAGGGGGGCGGACTTGATGATCTGCTCAGGTCCCTTCCGACCTAACCAACTATGAAACTATGAAACTATAAATAATAAAAATGTCCTCTCCTGTCCTCCCTTTCCCTGCCCCAGCCCTCCAGATCCAAACCCTATTAGCTCTTCCCCTAATTGATTCGGCTGATGTTTTCTGGAGGATAATTGTTTCCTCTGCATGGAGAGAATTCAGCTGCCTCCCTCTCGGTTGTAGCTGGGCCTCCATCACCAACTTTCCCTTCTGTGCAGAGCATGGCTTTCCATGCCCCTGCCCAGCCCTGATGGCCCCAGAGAGGGGCCTACCAGGACCCCCCCACCAACAACAACACCATAAAAATGCCATAAAAAGCAGCATCTGCTGCTTAATGCACCAGGACCCCATCCAGATGCATCAGGACCCCATATTCTCTTTGCCCACCCTTCTAACACCTGTTGGCATAAAACCCAGTGGAGGACTGCATGCCCTCAGCCTGTTCCCCCCTGCCCCTGTGCCACCTGGATGGCTGGCACTTACAGGTGCCTTGGGCAGCCCGTGGTGACAGTGTCAGACACTGGTTCACTCAACGGCAGGGCAACATCTGCTGGTACCCGGAAAACCAAACCGGGCAGCCTTCCCATGTATTACCACCCAGAGCTTGCAGCTCGCCTGCCTCCGTCTCCCCCTTCCCCTTGCCCAGGCCACCCCAGAGAACTGTCATCACAAAATAGTCCCTTTGCAATGACCACAGATGATCTGCGATTGAGGACGTCGCTAGAATAACTCAGTCAAAGCCAGCGCTACCCGAATAGCTTTGCAATGCAGGAGGCTGGATCCCATCTCCTCGAGAACACTGCGTCTCTCCAGGGGCACGGGGACCGAGCACCCCGAGAGCTGAGGTCCCAACCTCAATACGGCTTGCTGCCGTGCTAATCGAATCCCCATTTGTCTTTGCTGCAGTGGGGTGAGCCCCGTGCTGGCCAGGAGGGGAGAGCTCCAGTATTTCAGCAGCATGGAGCAGAGGTGCTAGCATCAGGGTGCCAGGAGAGCCCGACTCCTCCCCTCCCTTCACCTTGCATGGCATTCACGTGGCCAGAGTGTGTTGCACTACTGGAAACACCCCCACCCCAACCTCCCTTCCAGTTGGCTGGGAAACACTGCTTACACATCACCTTTCTCCCAATTACGTCGCTGAGTCTCCCCGGGCCCTTTCCAGCACAAGGAACAGGATGCAGTCAGAGATAACAACCTCCTCCTACATCTCCCTAACATCTCTCCACATCAAAGCCTGACTCATCAGATCCCGTGTTCCTGTGCTTCCACGGCCGCTCATGTTTAACACCCATGATGCAAACAGGACGCTGCAGCGAGCCGCAGAGCGCTGGGCTCGGTCTGACGAGGCTGCGGTCCTCAGAAGAGGTACGAGAGCAGAAGCCACAAGCATGTCCTACCCGTGTCCCAAGCGTGAGAGAATAAAACCCTCCCCTGTACAACAGGAGCAGGTGGTCTTCACACAGCCGCTTCCGCTGCTTTTGCAGGGGTTTTGGTCTCCCTTGTTTGTTGCTATTACCTGCTGCTGCTATTACCTTTCTACAGCAGATCTATCTATGCACCTGGCTGGTGTCATGGGCTGGGAATGAGATGGGATCCTGACCTGAGACAGAACCACACACGGGACAACAGATCAGGATAGCCAAGGTGTGCAAATAACAGTAGTGGTGAAGTCACAGACTCATAGAAAAGGAGGGTTGAAGGGACCTCAGGAGGACACGTCTAGTCCAACCCCCTGCTCAAAGCAGGACCATCCCCAACTACATCATCCTGGACAAAGCTTTGTCTACCCGGGTCTTAAAAACCTCCACGAATAGAGATTTCACAGCTTCTCTGGGTAACCTGTTTCAGTGCTTTGCTACCCTCCGAGTGAGAAAGTTTTTCCCCTAATATCCAACCTCATCTTCCCTTGCTGCAACTTGAGCCCATTGCTCCTTGTTCTGTCGAAATCAGCATAGGAAGGAGAAATGGGATCTGAAACACTCCAGTTACAAGGCCCCCAACAATACCCACGGTGCAGACAGAACTGAGCGACCCCGTACGTGTAGGATAAATTTGAGTTTATTGACTGCAGCTTGGTCCAAAAACACAGCTTACTCACAGAGTCTGTTGCCGCCTACGCTATACGTGTATTCGCACTGCATATTCCCTACATGCATTGCCTACAGGCTGCTTTTCCCTTTTTCATGAATTGTGTCTTTCCTGTCTGTCCCAAGGTGCAGCCTTGAGACATTTATATCAAGGGTTTCAGTGCAAGGCTAATGCCAGTGACTCCAAAGCACAGCTTGGGCGATGTCTGTACAAGCTTCCTAAATGCTGCTTTACTAGGCCCAGCACCCAACCCCAAGGACCACAGCAGAGCTTGGCTGAGCCCTGCCATGCTCCCACAGCTCTGCCATAGCACCCAGACTCAACCCAGTGCTCTTGGCCTTTCCACAGCAGCAGATGCAGATGGTAGCGTCCGAATCCCAGGTTTTCTGCTGTGTTAAATACCCGCTGATCACTAGGCTGACAGCACCAAACCCATTACAGCTGTGCTGGAAAGGGGATGTAGCCAGGTCCCCACACAGGAGAAAGGGGAGCACGTTGCAGTGCTAATCCATGCACCCTTCAGCTCTCTCATTCTTGCCTGCCTGGTTCAGAAAGGCTTTGACAGGTCTCAGGACCCATTAGAGGGGAGGTTAGAAGAAGATGAGTCCTAGCTTTGCATCAGCAGCCTGTATCCAGTGGGTTTAAGTCCAGACCCACCACTAAGTATCGAGAGACCCCCCACCTCCTGGGTATCCCTCATCCCAGCCTCCTCTTACTCCACTTGCAATATCCTCTTAACTATGTCCTCACTGTCCTGCGGCAGCTGGCAGCAGAAGCAACTAGTGGGGGCCTGTCTGGCTTAGCCTGTTCATGGTATACATGGTCTTTGACCAACAGATACCAGATCTGAAGCCAGGATGGGCTGATGGAGACTCGAAGTTTTCATCCTCCCATGATGGGGGGAGCCCACGTGTGGGCAGTCCTGTTTGTTCCCAGCTCCCCGGGGTCCATCAAAATGCCATCACAATTTAGTGGCCATCTCTGCAGAGGGGTCAGAGGATGAATGGTCTGAGCGGACTGAGCAGGATTCCCAGTCCTATAGAGGCAAGGTCCCTCTTGGACTGGGGGAAGGTGCTTTGGGTTAACAAACAGATCCATGCTCTGTGCAGCTCCCCATGCACTGACCCGTCCTTTCACAGAGATGCCAACCTCTCCCTTGCCTTTAAAAAATACATTAGGGCAGCATAACAAGGCCCATAAGGGAGGGATTAGGAGCTGCCAGGAGAAGAGGCTTTGTCACAAGAGCCTCCTGCCAAAGAGCTGTCGAGATCCATCAGCTGAAACCAAACACTCCAGCACATTTCCTTTACAAGGACAAGATATTTCTGTCGTAAAACAAGCCTGATGCCAGCTACATTTCTGCAGCACAGCTGGGCAACACATGTGTCCTGGGCTAATGGTGCTAATACAGCCTCAGAGCTTTGCAGAATTGGAAGAAAAAGCCTCCCTGCTTGAGACCTTCCTTACAGCAGACCCAGCAAGCACGACTCCTCTGAATGCATCCCTTTGGCCAAACCCCATTTCCCCTCTTGCTTGCTTTCCAGGCTTGGCCTACTTTGGTCTGGGGAAATTTGAGGTATGCAGATGGGATCCCCCAGCCACGAGGAGCCAGGCCTCACAGCGAAGGAGAGTGCCACGGAGCAGATTCGTGGAGCCAGTCTCGCATTCAAAGCGAGCCCGTCTGGAACCCATTTGTACAGCTCTGTTCCTGGAAGTCAAGCATTTCCCTTCGGGCTCTGGGCTTCACAGCTCTCTGTCGGCTCTGATGAGCTTGCTGGGCAAATGCCAAGCAGCCGTTATGAGAGGAGTGCGTGAGACAAAGACCGAACACGAATGCTCTGCGCCATGTGAAGGGAGATGCTTTATGGATGCCTCCCCCTTGCAGGCTCCACAAACAGCTCCGTGCCCGGGCGTTACACGTGACGGACACGCTCTCTAGGCTGCATTGTGGTGACTAACATACTTCTGGTCCCATGAGCACAGCCCTGTGTGTCCCTGGCATGGCTTGGCTGTTCCTCTGGTCCCCATCGCTCCCTGGCGCTCCCTCATGTTGGAGTCAGCCTGGTGAACCATCTCCCTTCCTCCATGGACCTATCCAGCATGGCCCAAGGGAGGCTGCCCCTGCCCGGGGCTCTGCTCTCACACCGCCCCGTTGCGTATCGGGTGAGTCCGCACCCTGTAGATGATGACAGCTGTGGCCGGGCACAGGACCAGGGACATCATGATGATGATGGTGGCCAGGATGATCAGGACGATGGCCCAGATGTCCAGGATGTGTTTGGGGATGCCCACGGTGGTGTCGGAGCCATTCAGTTCTTCCATCCTCCCCCTCTCCTTGCTGCAACAGAGAGAGGGAAAGTTAGTGACAATGCAGGGCACAAAGCAGCGTGGCTCCAAAATCATCCTAGGGCTCCACACAGAGTTGCAGCTCCCTGTATGCCAGGGCCACTCTGCAGCGTCCCAACCCCAAATCACCTCTCCCCACCTCTCTCAGCCCTTCCCCTCAGCCCTTCCCCTCTCCATCTTCCTTATTCCAGCTTACCACCTTCACATCATTCCTCCCTGTCATTACCTTATCTTCCCCCATCACTGGTGATGCAGTTGTTAACCATATTTTCCCCCTTTTGCGGGTTCACAAACTTTGTCTTCATGACCCTATCGGCCTTTCCAAGCCTACCCCGAAATAAAAACTGTCTTGTGCCGGTTTTGCACATCCTATTAACATCTCAGTCCCTGCTCTGCTGTGTGCTCTGCTGTCTTGATCACCTCTAGTAAGATGAAAGAGCAGTTACTAACAGGATAAATGAGCTTTAGGGGGTGATTTTCAAAGCCCAGCCCCCTTGTCGAGAGCTGCCTCCCACTGCTAGTCTACACATCTTTTAGTTTTTTTTATCTTAAATTTAAACTTTTGGAAACACACAATCCTACAAGAGCTCCTCGGTATGCTCCGTGGGGTGTACTTCGCTGGTGAACACCTACATTTTGCAAGGGGCTGCAATTCTCTGCAAGGAAGAGGTGGCAAAACCTTCAGCTCGCACACTCAGAATTTCCAGTGCAGAAAAAGCTGAGGCTGGCACACGCTGAAAGGAGCTGGGATCCAGAAGTGCTGCCTCCATCACTGCCACTGACTCATGCTGAATATGCCAGTGACTTGACATACATATACACCCACATTTACAATCTGCAAAGCGGCCCTTGCCAAGCTGCTGTGCAGAAACTCAGCATCTGTGAAGTGCTTGGAGAAGCTCATAAAAATGCTCTTAATTTATTATGTGACCTGACGAGGTCAGAGCCCAGTTATTCCAGCCAGGCGTGCAGCAATAGGCAAGTGCCTGGGAGGAGAAGTCTAAAGCCAGCAAAGAAATCGAGGTTTGATTTCCAGGAAGGAAGTGAGTTAAGGACCCTACAAGAGTGAGACGCCCGGATCCCACTGGATTTCGGTGACTTTTGGGCTCTATAAGCAATTTGGGAAATCCCAGCCTAAAAGCTCCTGGCTCAGACTGCCGGCGCAGGCGTCTGTGTTCACTGAGGATTTCCCCGGGATGTCTGGCGTTAGGGATGGGACCAGCCAACGCCCTTTCTCTGGGCTGTTTCCTTGCTCCTCCAGTGGGTTCTGGCAACACCGGGATGCGGGATTCGTGCTGTGGCATCTTCCAGCGGATTCGGGTGCCTGGAGGCGTCTCTCCTCCCTGGTTTCCTGAGTCACGGACTTAATAGTTTAATAAACAGCAACACTTTGAATGACACCATCAGGCAGGACTCCATGCTCTGATCTCTCTGGCCTTTCATGCACACCCACACTGCTCTGTTCATCTTTCCCCCTCAACTCTAGGGTGTGAGTTGTCAGAGCTGTCGAGCTCTCGGCTTGTCAGAGCTGAGCTCAGGACCCTGCTCGTATCCTGTTTTCAGCAAGTTAGTGGAATTGGATGTTACCTGTGAAGATAAGACGCACCACCACTCCGACACGTCTCACTGGATGTTAATGCCTGCACGTCACAACAGCCCTGGCAAATGCTGAAAGCAGAAATACATCAGGCAAACCTCACAATGCTGCTAGAGGTAGCTAAGGAGAGCGGCTGAAGTCCTCCAAATGGGTTCAGCATCTATTACCTAGACTTGCTCAAGTATGCCCACAGGCGCTGCAATCCCACCTCAGACTGCAGGGCAGACGGGGCCTGAGAGGAGACTGGGCAATGGGGGCAGTCAAAGAATAGCCAGGAGCAGCTCAGCATGTTAAAATGGCACAGGGCTCACTGCAGTCACTGATGCCCCATCACTGCCCATCTGCTCCCTCTTACCCACGGGAGAAGTTGCCCAGGTTAGCTTCTATATACCACGGGGTAAGAAAGGACGGATGGACGGTGACCTTGCAGCAGCTGCTCCATGGCTGCAATGTCCATAGGCTTTGTGTACCCGGAACAAACCATGCCAGAGACCTGCTGGGAGAGGGAGCATGGAGCGAAGCAGGACTTAGTCTTTCTGCAGAACAAAGGGCCCTGCCTTTCTCAGCGCCCCGCAGACGGGTGAGCAGGGCCGGATACACTCCGGGCACACCCACACCTGTGGCTGAAAGCCATGCCTGGGAGGGAGAACCAGCCACAACCGGGTACGAGTGACATGGTCCCACGTCATTGCACGACAAGGCGAGGCTCTCGGTATCACCGGCAGGCCTGGGCTTGTTTCAGGGCAGGAATTCCCCGGCAGGCTGACAGGGAAGGTGTGAGCAGCTTTGGGAGCCTCTCATGCCCGGAGCCGAGGGGCGATGGGGACCCTGCAACGCATGCTGGCAGAAGCAGCCCTGTGGGGAGAACCCACGTCTGGGTGAGACACAAGAAGGATCTTGCCGTGGTGGGTCCAGCTCACGCCGAGGTGCAGTTCTTCCTTTCTTTACCCGTAAGGTTGCCAATTTCCTCTCTGGGGGATTTCGTGCCCCTTTAGAAATGCTGCTCCTGCGCCCGGAGGGGATGTCTGGGCTCCACCTATCTCAGCACTGAGATCTGCTTTGGATCTCGCCTGATGCCAGTGCTACCAGTTGGGCAGCTCCTAGGGAGACAGCAGGCTGGGGGTATTCTGCCCCGTGCTCTAAAAGGATCCCGGATGCTTTCTGGGCCCCCGCTCCTTGGCAGCACTGTGACCCCTGTGTCCGAGGCCGCTGGCACCGATGCTATAACAAGAACCCTGCTGATGCCCGTGGGGCCGTGTCACCGTGGGCGTTTCTCTGGAAGCCCTTGCATGACGCAAGAGCTCCCACATTCAGGGCTCGTGGGGCCAAGAGGTCAAGCCTCCAGGCTCTGGAGGCAAGCATTGCAATCTCGACTCATGCCAGGTAAAACACTAATTAACAGGCTTGATGACAGCACTGACGCAGCTCTGGTTTCGACACGTTATCCCTCGGGGCGCTGCTTGGAGGCCTGTCCCTGGGATGCTCAGGAGCCTTGATGTCAGGTCCCCGGCTTGTTCCCAACAAAGGGAATCCAGGCTCACGGCCAGAACGGGGCATGAAGGAGATCCTGGCTCCGACCAGCCCCTTGCTTTCCTGGGCTCCCATCATTTGAAGTGTCAGCAGGGAGGAAGCTGTCAGCATGTAGCAACAGCTGGCAGGGATGCCATGGGTTGCAATGGTTACAGCTTTCAATGCTCAAGCATCGGCATCTTCCTCTTTTTCCTCCCACCCAGTGACCGGATCCTGCCTCTGCACTGGCAGGTGCGGGCGCACCAGGGAATCCTCCATCCCCGGAGAAAAGCCTGCAGGGCACCCTGCCTCGGCCTGCCCTGCCCCACAGGTCAGCGATCACCCAGGTGAAGCTGGAAGGGGCTGAAATACAGGTTTGGTGCACCTGAGGAACCGGCCAGCCCCTGCTGCTCCCTGGGGCACCTTCACACAGGCTGCTCCAGTACACAATGCCTCTGGTCCTAAAACGCAGCTTGGCCATGACTCGTCTCCATTTCCACTCCACGGTGGCATCTCACGCACTGCAATGTGCTCAGCCTTCCTGCGGCTCCAGCTCCGCCGTCAGCCCTCCTCCCTCGCAGATCTCACCCAGAGCTTTTTGCATCCTGCTGGCTAGAAATCAGCCCTTTGCCTATCCGCTGCAGCGGGTCAGAGCATAGGCACCGATCCGCCGGGTGCAGAGCTCGCCCGGCGCTGGGCTCAGCTCATGCAAACGGCCTCACAGGATTTGGCCCTGGGCTGGTAACTGCAAGGCTGGGGGTGAAGTGCCTTGTCTCCCTGCTAAGGTGCCTGTGTTCAGCTAGGAGCCAAGGTGCAGTCGCCAGGCTCCACAACCCCATCCCGGCTCTGGGAGGAGAAGGAGCAAGGTCTCCTATTCTCGGTCACCACGCCTAGCTCTCAGTCAAAGGGAGAGGGGGTTCAAGGTGCACCCACCTCCGAGTCCTTGAGCAAAGTTTCCCTCGCCCCTGATAACACCCAAGGCTGCTGGCTGAACCCTGGAGCTGGTCCACGAGTGCATGCATGGGACACACCTCAGGCATGTGCCAAGATTTTTCTACCCAGAGAGGCTGTTTTTTCCATGCTTCCTTTTCTTGAGAAGGCTGTGGTTTGGTGACACAACTCTGACAAGGCCTGGCTGCCTTACACCTCTGCAGTCATGCTCCCTGCCCCAGCCCTAAGCCACCACAAAGCAGCCTATTTTCCCATCATTTCTGCTCTCAGTGAGACCCAACGTTCCCGATAGGCTTGTCTCTGTAACCGCCCTGGACATCGCTGGCCGCACAGTTGCAAGAAAACTCCTCTCCCTTTTTCCACCCTTTCAACTCCAAACGTTGCCGCTGAACCTCCCTTTTCCGTCACATCTAAATGCAGATGCATGCACCATCATGCCACAGTCTGGGTTATGCTCTAAAAAGAGCACAAAGGATGAGGCTGAGGGGGCGTAGAGGAGGGGAGGGGAGTCTCCAAGTGATCTGTGCATACCCAATTTCACTGCTGGTTGCTCAAAGAGCGAACAGACATGTAGCCGCCAGGTGCTAATTGCCAGTTATTTGTCTGCCCTGCTCCGTTGCACGCCAGGGATAGCAAGCAGAGTCCCAAATACCAGTCCCATATGGTAGCCACCCCACGCCAGCCCCACCAGGGAAACACAGAGCTGCGTGCTCTAGAAAGCTGTGGGAAACACACCTACCCCCAAGAGACCAAAGACTTGATCCTGGTCCCGCTTCGGTTGGCGGGAATGAAGACTCTCCCCAGTGAAATCAGTGCCATTAGGGCAGCGAGCGCACAGGACCCGGCCGAGGGAGGTTACCGCTAATCCAGAGCTGCCCATTCCTTCACTTTTAACCATTCAGATGCAAGGGTCTTTCAGAGACGGCTTGGGAATATATTATTCCCTGTCCCTGACGCCTGGGGGTCTGACCAGGGAACAGGTAGCCCGGCAGCGTGGAAGGGCCACGACAAGCCCCCGCTGCTTTTCACATCAGAAAAAGGGAAAGGAGCCAGAAAAGGGACAAGAAGTGAAGCAAAATCAAAAGCAGCTGAGAAATGGGGAAGAAATGGAAAGAAGGAAACACAGAGTCACAGGCAGCCCCTCGCTGCGAGCAGCTGAAACCATGAGCCGTGGCACGTATGCAGGCACTCGCATGCACACGCTTTCTCTTTCAAGCCCGAGACTTTTTTTCCCCCCCAAGGCAGAACTTTTTTCCACCCAAGGACTTGGTCAGACTGAAGCACAGTGAAACAAAGCAGCGTTTAATGCAGGTCCCCCTGCGCCGGGGAGGGGGGAATGGAAACTCGCATCCAAACCCACCTTTGCCCCAAGACAGCCTGTCGGAAGAGTACGCCACCGCTCTGCCTATGAAGCCAGCGCTTCGGAGTTACCTGCCAGAGTCCCAAGAGCTGATCCGAAGCTGATGCAAGACCCAGGGACTTCCTAGGAAGGAAAGAGCAGTGGAGAGCGGCTGTCCAGGCTGAGGGCAGACAACTTTCTGAGCGGTGCTGAAGTCGCAGCACACTGGCTCCCAGTCCTGTGCGGAGGAAAGGGAGGTTGGACCAGCCCTTCTAACTCCACCCTTCTGCCTGCAAGCCGTGTAGCTCTGTGTCTGTGCGTGTTTGCGTTTTCTTCGGTGAGCGAGCTGCCGTCCGCAGTGCTGTGCCTCTCTTTCTGGGACCCAGCCCCCAAGGGAGAAGGAGCATGCAGGCGTGTTGCATTGCAGCTGCCTGGTTCGCTCCCAAGTTCATCTCGGTCCGGTCCCGCACCACGCACTGGCCGTGGCGAGCAGGAAGAGGGGGGTGCCGCTGCGTTCAGGGCTGGGGCAAAGCCCAGGACTGTCAGCTAGGGGGGCAAGTGGAGCAAGTGAGACAAAGAAACCCAGGGTGGAAAAGCCGCAAATGCCCCACACCGGGAGTCCTTTGCTTTCCTTTGCCAATGTAAAATAAAAGGAGCCCTTGACAGCATCGCACCCACCCAAGAGAGGGCTGGACCCATCCCGTGGCTTTTCCCAGTGGAGATGACACCCGGGAACCACCTCCCATGCCAGGAGCAGCGTGGCCACGTCTATGAGCACCTCGAGTGGGGCGGTTCGCACAGCCGGGTGACGGTGCCCCTTAGCCCATCCCCATACCAATGAGCCCAGACACGGCGCTGTGTGGACGTGGCTCCTGGTATGGGACACTTCTGCCACGCAGGCAGGCTGCCAGCTGAGACTCGTGGTCAGAAATCAGGACTCAGGCCCCCTCCGCTTCCCAGAACCGTGACGTTGGTGGAATTAAAGGACGACATCGGGGTCTTTCTTCTTTGCCGACTGCTTCCTGAACCTTAAATCATGTTCAAATTCATCTCTTTTTTGTTTTCTGACATCCTACCACCGGGCTGGTAGGAGGTCAGACATCCTGCAAGGCCAGCCTCAACGGCCCCGGGGCTGGCTGCACTGGATCAGCCCCGATAACGTGCAGCGCTCCGGGGCCTCTTTGTTTTGCTAAGATTTGATGGAAGGCCTCTCCGAGGAGGCCGGAGATCTGGACAGACTGTACCGAGGGGCCTGATTTCCTCCCGAAGGAATATTCCACGGATACCGGGCAGGTCTTCTCGGAATATTCCACTGCGCCGGCTGACGCAAAGGCCCGGGAAAGGGAACAGCGACTTCCCCCAACCTCAGCAAACCGGAGGAGCTGGCATCTATTTTTTGCAGTCAACCCCCACTCCGGCTAAGCCACGAGGCATCGGGGCAGGATAGCAGCCTACAACAGCGAGAGCTCGCAGGCTGCAAGGAGGGAGAGGAGTTCGTCGAGGTGGTCTGTGGAGAAATAAGTAGGGATATAGTTAAGCAAGGGAAAACTCTGCAATTTAGGAAAGGCATTCTGGGTCACGATTAAAATTAGGACCCCGCCATATGTAAAATGGGGAATAAATCTGCATCCGCAGGGGATGGAGCCACTTCATGAGACTGTCCCCTCTCTGGCACCTCAGGCCCAGATGTCACAGGAGCCAGCAAGGGTTAAAGGAAAGGCGCGTTTTGCTGCCATCCGCATTTAGAAGGAGCAGAGAGCAGAACTCAGCGGACGTGCTGCCAGCCTTAATGCTCCATCCATCCTGAATATTACCCCGCAGGGAGCTGAAGGGCCTAGCAAATTGCGGCTGTTTGATTCACATGAAAATCCTTTTTGTTCTTTAAATGCATCTGGCGTCTGCTTGCAAAAGGGAAATGCTCCAGGCCAAACCCAGCGCTCGTGGAAGCAGGTGTTTTAGTCTCTCTTGTTCCAAAGTGGCTCTTTGAAGCACCACAGACACCAGCCTTCGTATCCGAGAACCTCCTTGCAGTGCGTTCGGCCCCTTCCAGCAGTGTCACGTGCGGTTTGTTCTCTCATCTTCTCCTCCGCCTGGTCACTGAATGGTTTGGCTGAGTTGTGGTTGTTGGGTAGGTATTTTTGCAACAGAGGTGTTAAATCCATCCGTTGCTCTGCACTTGTGCTGGATGCTTGCAAGTGAAGTCTGCAATGACGGCGGGGTCTTGAAAGAGTTCACATCCCAGTCTGGGATCAGTCCTGTCTGCTTCCCGGGTTGTTACAGCATCCCACAGGGAGCGCAGAAAGGCTCTGATCCTTGGGAGTGAAAGGGATAGGGAAGGAAAATTGCCACCCATGCCAAGCTAGGAAAGGATTCTGGGGAAGGAAAGGAGGCAAGAGTAGACAAAAATGTGGCACAGGGTGACTGGAACCTCACTACGTGCCTGAGTGACAAGAGCCAGGTGAAAGCACCACCTCCTGCCACACGCCTGGATGTATAAAGAGCGTGTAGAGAATAGGCAGAGACCTGGAGACGGTCTGCTCCTCCAGTACAACTCGCCCAAGCCTGCGAGGGGGGAAATCTCCCTGCTACCGCCACGTACAAAGACGTGCTTGGTCTTGCTGGACCTTGCCATGTCCAACCAGACTGCCCAAAGAAGGACAATGAAGAGAGGAGAGCAAAACAGGCCTAAAACTTCCCGAGAGCTGCCAGAGGGGGATGGACATCCTTGAGGCCCAGCAGGCTATCAGGATAATTCATACCTCTTCAGGGCTCTCCATCTGAGGGAGTCTAGGCACTTTACAAGCATTAATGCACCCTGGAAGAAAGTCCTTTTTATAATCACTTTGCCCCTGGGGGAAACTGAGGCAAGGAAAAGTGAAAGGATTTGCCTCGGTCAGTGGCAGAGCTTGACTGCCGGTCCCTGCTTTAACCGCTAGGCAGGGCCTGCCTGTGGCAGCCCTCTGCACCACTCTGATGATGGATTGAGCTGCACGGGAATCTCACTAGGCAGGACTGCCCCTTTACATTGTCCGTGGAGCCAAGCACAGCAGGGCTCTGATCTCTGACCCAGGGTTAGAGCTCCTAGGTGCTGCTGTGACAGCAATGACTGTAAAACACAGGATCAGAAAGGCTATCGAGAGGAGAGGTGAGGTGGCAGTGACACCCTGAGTGCCCACGGGCTGCCTCAGTGACCTGAACATTTCCAAAGTCTCCACACTGTTATTCTGAAGGCATCTTCCCTACAGCAACCATGCCCTGGCCTTAAAGGAATCTTCCCCCAAGCTCCAGGAGAGCTCACGGAAAACCCAGCTGTGCAATAGGAATTGGCATAATGATGCATTGCCTATCGAGAGGCTGGAAAGGGTGCAGACCCAGGCCTGGTGGTACCGATCGCGGACAGCGCAGGAGCCCTTTGCTGCTAACACCCCGCATTAGACCCACGTAGCTCAGCCATGATTCAGTTCAACAACAGAGTTCATCCTACACCTTTCAGACCTGCAAGCCAGGTCTCACTCTTAAGACCCCCATCCCCTGTGACAGTGGTGCACGTCTCCCTTCCCTCTGTGCTGAGTGAAATGCTCTGGATGTCCAGGCTGATAGAAAACCTTGGCCTGCCAGGCGTTTCCACAGCGCGGAGCGGTTCTGCTTCTTGTTCCTCAGTGTAAACACTAGCAGCAGCGAGCGCCTGCCAGCAGCCTGGCCATAATTACTCTGGCATATCTCAGTCTTCTCACTCAGCGTGGTTGAGCACTCAGGGATTTCTCCAGGCACCTACTGTAAAAGGCAGGGAGATTTCGCAGTCCCACCGGCTGCATGGCTCCCCTCTGGTATTGCTGGAAGGTGGCATCAGCTTGGCTTGAATGAGTCTCTTAAAAGGACCTGATGTGCGCTGGCAGATTTGGTCCGTTGAGTGCGGCCGTCCAGGTAAGTGGGGCCCCCAAAGCTACCTGTGGTCTGGATGAGCTAGACCTGGAGACCTCAATCCAGCACCTGGTATGACCCCCATGGGCATGCCTGTCATTGTCCTAATGGAGAAGCCACAAACGGACTGGGTCATGGACACCAAACTCCCCTTGTGCATCTGCAGACACAGTATGAAGGTGCTTGGGAAGGGCTGCTTATGTAGGGGAGGCTGGTGTTCCCGCCTGGCCTGTTGCCACTGTACAGGAACACAGAGCACTTGAGTCTCCAGACCATTCAGCTTGGGGCCAGCAGCCAGCACTGGAAGAAATCAATAAATCTCAAGCCCTTTTCCCATTGTTTCACCTCTGCTCCTTGTCATCCCCTCCTCAGAGCTTGAAAACACCTCCATCTCGATCTTGTATGGTACACCGGGTCCTTTGATTCTGACAAAGCCAATACTAAACAGCCTTTATTTGTCTCTCTGCAGGCACAGTGGGAGCATTAATGATGTCAGCAAGGCCCCCAAGACAGCACCGGACAGCTAGCAGGGGAGCGCCACATGCATTGCCTTTGCTCACATCCTACATAAGCGTTGGCTCTTTCCCAAGCAGAGCGAGGGGTGCACAGCTGCCAGCTCTGCCTTTCCTCTCCAGAGGTGTCTGGGAGCTGAATAATTCAGAGCATTGAGGCTGATGGACTGGCACAAGTCACTTTGCTGCCCATCTGTAACCCCATGAAGGCCTGGCATAGAGCTGGAAGCAGAGCAAGAGGACTGGAAGCTGAAGGAAGCTTTGCTTGAGCCATGCAGGATCCAGCCCGTTCAGCAAGAGCCGCACAACGTGTCACCCCGACCTCTGCTCTCAAGACGCTATTAAGACTCAAGTGTGCGGCTGCCAAATCTCATGATTTTATTCCAAGTCTCAGGATTTGTGCTGCTTTTCTTCAAGCCCCCAGCCCTGGAACGATGAGATTGTGTGAGCACCTCGGGCTTTGTGGATAAGCAAATGATAGTTCAGCCCTTGAGGCTTCAGAACAAAATATGAAGGTGTAAAGCAGCCGCATCTGCCGGGCTCAGGAACCAGAAAGCAAAATAAAAGAACCTAAAATCTGGCATTAAGAAGTAAAGCTCCTGAGCCTTTTTGAGGCCTGCTGCATGATTTCTGAGCCCTCCAGACCGGCGCTCCTGCAATGATAGTCTAGCATCGCTCTCCCCGCTTAGCTTTTTTTCCCTTTCCTTTCAAACGTGGATTGTGACATGCAGCCATGTTGATCAAAAGAGACAGCAGAGGAAAGGGGAAAAAGCTCCGTGACTAAGCACAAAGCCATACGCTCGGGGCCTGTTTGGTAATCCCTGCGGCAGTTCTCTGCAGAAGGAGCGTCTCAGCAACAGCAAGCAGGCAGAGGGAAATTGGCTCTGGACTGATGAAGAGGAGCTACTTGCTGTTGCTGAGCAATTGGTCTGGGGCACATGTTTGGAGGTAGATGGGCTACCCGGCATCATAAGGGGAGCAGAGAGCTAGAGAAGTTGTTTGCAGACTGGGCAGTCATTTGCAGTGGGCTGGGCTGTTATATAGGTACCTCGTGTGTGGGAGCAAAGCAGAAGTGAGACGAAAACAAGAATCTGGGAGAAGACAGCAGAGATGTCCGCTTTAGTCTGGAGGTGCATGAGAAGCAGCACAGTGGATGCTGCTCCAGCAGCCATGCTCCATGGGAGACCCCTGCCGGCCAGAGAGCCGATGAAGTTTTACCCTCAGTACTGCTACCAGGAGAGAAATGGGAGAAGAGGCTGGAGGAGGCATAGAAAAAAACCCTACTTTTTTACATACTAGAAAGGCAAAATACCCATTTTTGTAAGGAAAAGCCCTCCAGCACACAACCGAAATAAAGCGATTAGAACCACTCCTTGAAAGTGTCACCAGCCTCCTGCAGCAGTCAGGGGTTGTGGATGTAGAGAGGTAGTTAGCCGTGTTTGTCTGAAGTCAGCCAGAAGACAGGTGAGCCGTGAAACTTTACAGACTCACTAAAAATAAAATGCATACATATACAAAACATAACATTTTGAAGCATTTTGTAAGGGGATAAAGTCTTGCAAACGTGCTTGGCAGACAATAACCCAATGCCAGTAAAACATCTGTTCAGATGTCTTAGAGAGAGAGAGAAAGCAGAAGCTTTCATGAAACCAAGTTCATTTCATCAGACATGTGGACATAGCCTTAATGATCCAGGAAATACTGGAGCAATTAGAACCGGTCCTTGAAAGCGACACCAGCCTGTTGTAGCGGGGCTGGACGGTGGATATAGCCCTGACTGTTCAGGAAATACACAAGGCAAGGATTTCTTTTTTTTCGTGATATCTTTTGTTGGAGCGATTGTTAGATGTGAGACAAGCTCTGGGGCACGAAGCGTTCCCCTAAGTCCTGAGGGATTTGAGGAAGGGCATTGTGCGCCTTTTTCTTCTTCTCACGTCCAGTCACCGTGTTCAAACTTGGGTCCAGAAGCAGACACACGCCACGATTCGATCTGTAGCCTTAGCGAGGTCCTCGGGGCATGGTTCCCCTATCCGTGGCCCAGCCGTAGGTGTTGTGTAGCCTGAAAGTTTCCACCACGCTCACACACGGTGTTTAGTCGCTGGAGCACCCCCACCGTTACACGGTAACTTTAGCCTTACTGACCCCTGTTCAGAAGCGGTTCAAGCTTCTCCATTTTGGCCAGTCAAGCTCTGCACCTGCCAAGAGAGGTTTGGCATGAAATAGTCGTGGCAATAAATAACGATGATAAACTCAGTCCACATCAAACTCTGCATCGGCTCCGTCCCATCACAAATCCCCCGAGCATCCCCCAGTTATCCGATGATCTGCAGCCCCGGATGGCTTGGGCTCGGGCAGAAGGCGGAGAAGAAACCTCAGGCCGTGAGACGGAAACGAGATGCAAGCGGGCACGGTGGGAGGGTGTCACAGGTGGCTGAGGAATAGGCGGTATTGTGACCCCCTGCCCTGGCCAGAAACCAGCTCCGGAGTCGTGACACATTTCCCAGCACTAACTTTCCAGCAGGGGTGGGTTTTAGAGCGGGAGAGTCATTTTTAGTCCTTCTACATGTTTGTCTGCGCTACATTTATTGCGGGATTTATTGAGCAATAAGTGTGACATCTAACAGGGCGCCTCAGCAGCCACCCAGCGGCGCTAGGAGGCCGGAGGGCTGTGCGCATGCGCTCTAGGCTTCTCAGCTACCGCCCGGCGGCGCGGAGGCCCGCGGAGCTACTGCGCATGCGCGCTAGGGATATTTCCTCCCCCCCCTTCGGCGCAGTGATGCCACGTGACTTCCACCTTCGATCGGAAAGGGCGAGATCATGTGAGGCAGGCGGGGCCTCGCCCTTCCGGGTCACGTGAGGCGGAGGAGGAGGAGGAAGTGGCGGGGCCGGGCGAACGAGCCCCGCGCTCGAAGATGGCGTCGCTGCTGCAGTCGGAGCGGGTGCTGTACCTGGTGCGCGGCGACAAGGAGCTCCGCGCACCGCTCTCGCAGCTCTACTTCTGCCGCTATTGCAGCGAGCTCCGTTCCCTGGAGTGCGTCTCCCACGAGGTAACCGCCGGCGGCGCCCGCCCATTGGCTGCGACTCCTGCCCCTCACTGTCTTCCCCCCTCCCCATTGGGTAGCTATCGACTATGGGGCGGAACTAGCGTTACTCTGCCATTGGCCAGGAAAGGAGGCGGGCTTGTCGCCGCCGCACCCACCTATTGGCTGCGCCGCCTGCCCCTCACCCTCTTTCCTCCTCGCCATTGGGTAGCTGTCACCTAAGGGGCGGGACTGAGACTCCTCTGCTATTGGCTCCAATGCGTGGAGGGGGCGGGTCCGGTTTGGTTTGCTCCATGATTGGCTTGAGTCATTGCCTATTTGTCAGCTGTCTCTATTGATTGGCCCCTGGGCGTCGTGGGGGCGGGCTCAAGGTGTGGAGGGCTGTCTGAGTTGTAGGGAGGTGGCACCAGAATCCCCCCTCCGTGCTCAGTCTGTGTGGGAGGACCCCCCTCCCCCACACAGACGTGTGCATATGTACGTACACACACGTGTGTGTGTGTATGTAGTACCACAAGCTTCCATGACCTGAGTCTCACTTCCTCAGAGGCGGTGAAAGGGCGAGGAGAACAGCAGAGTCAGGGTTGAGAAGTGCCTGGGCCCTCCAGGATCCAGATTCAGCCTCCTTCCTCCTAAGACCCAGCTAAATATCGGTTGAGACGTGTGGGTGGGCTACCACGTGGTCGGAGACTGCTCTTGACGCTTGCAAAACTGTACTAAGCCCTTCTCGTGCAAACCAAAATACCAAATTGTATTTAAAACTCATCCAGATAATAGAAATGATGCGTCATGCCTGAGATTGTTAAGATATCATTCGGAGAATGTGTTTTTCTTGGAGTTACGCTGTTCAGATGAACAAAGTGATAAGAAAACTGCTCAGTTTGTGCGTCATAAAATCTAAAATCCTGAGGTTTCAAGATAGGCGTGAGATGGTTGTGCATATGCATAACATTTTACAAACAGTTATGCGTATGTGTTGACATGTGCTAATTATCTTAGGAAAGAGTCTTAAGGAATATGAGCAGAATAACGTTTTAAGGTATTTGGGAAGTAGTTAAGGATTTGCAAGGTGCTTGAAGTGGGGAGATGATAACCTAATGACAGGAAAACATCTGTTCAGATCTTTTAGCATGTGTTCGTAATGGGAAAGGAATTTGCAAATTGGCTGCATTTCTCATTCTGGATTTACTATAGGATGATGCGGCACATCATGCACTTGGACGGGAAAGCACAGGACAAAATGTGTACTGGTTAGCTCCAAAATGTACTGTTTTTTCCTGGATAAATTAATATGTTAAATTGCTTCTTCAGGCAAAGGACATAAAAGAACTATAATGTAAACGAATTACCAAAGTGGGGAACATTTTCCAGAGTGCATTCATTAGTACTGGCCAGTGCAGCTACAGAGACAAAATAGCTCAAGGCTTGTAATGATTAGATTTGGGGGGAGGGGACGTGGTCTGATAGTTTCAACAGCAAGACTACTTGCTGGAGTCTTAATTAGTCACGCTCAGAGATGGCTGTCATTTTCAGCTCCTGGTAGTCTGCAAATGGGTGGGACCCAATGAGCTGTGTTCTGTTTGCAAGGCACTGAGCCTTGACCCTTTCTGACAAAACCTTTTGACTTGAGGTACTAAGAAATTACCTGTTAAGCCAGTCTAAAAGTTTAAACATCAGAAGCTGGCTTCCATCTTCACTAGTTCCCTGTTGTTTTCTTGCACAAAGCATTGTTCAGTCACGCAGCAAAGAATTCCAGCTGCTGCTGACACACCGTCTAAATAAGTGAGCACTTTATAAGGGATGACACGACTTCTGTTTGCCAGGTGGACTCTCACTATTGTCCCAGTTGCCTGGAAAACATGCCATCTGCTGAAGCCAAGCTGAAGAAGAATAGGTAAGGTGGCCTTTTTCTGTATTGCGGCTTCTCCTTTAAAGTCTGTTTTTTTTTAAAGCCTGTTACTTGGATTCTTAATGCTGGAGAAAGGATTGCTCCTTCAATCATTTCTGTTCTTGTCACCCTGTTGCTATAATGTCTGAGTTTCTAAGAACCAAGTGCCAGGACCCAGACTTCAGGGTTTCCCTTTGCTTTGATAGGTGCGCCAACTGTTTTGACTGCCCATGCTGCATGCACACTCTCTCCACCCGGGCAACAAGCATCCCTGCTCCGCTTCCGGATGACCCAGCCAAGACTACAATGAAGAAAGCCTACTACTTGGCCTGTGGGTTTTGCCGCTGGACTTCCAGAGATGTGGGGATGGCGGATAAATCTGTTGGTAAGTGTCTCGGGATGAAAGGCAGAACACTGAGTAAAGGAGGCTGGAGGATAATATTAATAATTAATATTTGTTAGGATATATTAGGTAATAGAAATTCCTCCCAGCCCCATTAGTAAAAGTTGACCACAGACCATGAGTCAGAAACCGCATTTTTCTGGTAAGAAATGATCATGCCACTTAAGAGGTCTGCATTGAGCTCTGTGGATTTTTTTTATCACTCAAGTTTCTTTGTGCTTTGCTTTACATAATTAAGCAACTGTATGCAAGTGCTTTAATATTGTATGCTTAGAGTAATACAGTGTAGTTGGGCTTGAATGAAGCAAGATCATTTCACAATTCTTCAGTGCGCTTGTGTAAGCAGGCTGTGACAGCCAAACATAGGTCTATTTTTAACTTCTATGTAAAGCACATGTTTCCATCTAGATGTCTTCATTGGGCACTGAGTGGAGATGTCAATTGTTTTGTGTTCCTTCATCTTTAAGAACGCCAGGAATG